ACTTGGCTATAGCCCTTCCCTTCCCTTCCCCTTCCTGCATCGAATGCTTTCCTGTAGACCCTTTCACCCGGCCTGGAGCCAACTGACTGGAGCATTAAAAAAATTAAATATTTTCCTTTCCCCTCTTTGGGGAGCGGAGCAGAGATGTGCCCTAGACAGCCCTGCTCATGGTGAATGACATTTTTCTTAACTTGCGAAAGCAATTCTGCTTCTGTTCCACGCCCCCCCTCCCCTCCCCCCCAGTGCACATCCTGCCTCCAGACATGCTTCTCCCCTCTCCCAGATGTGAGGGTCGGAGGCTTTACTTGCCCCATCTGTCTCAAATCCAATGGCAACCTCTGTGGCAGATTCTGCCCTGCTTTATTTCTCATAAACATACGAGTCCTTCCATAAACACCTCCACAACTACTGTTGTGCTGGAGTAAACTTTCTTTTGGCCTAGTATCAGCAAACGAAGCTTCAGCCCAAGGGGAATTTGGCACAACAGCAACTTATCTGCATGACATGTGGATGGTTGTAGAGCTGACATTTCCCTCTATTGCCAATATCGGAGGAAACGTGAACAGGCAACCTAGAGCACAACGTCGTTTTGTCTCTAATTTTCTCCCCACCCAATAAATGCTTCAGAGACTTTTTGCAAAGCAGAAATACTTGTGCGTGGTCTTGCGCTTGAAAGCATATCCAAATTATAATTGAATACATTTCTCTAAAACAAAGATAATAGGCTGAGGGCTCGGGAAAATAATGCTTTAGGTGAATGTCTGCTGGAGACAGGAAAGCTGTCTGGCAACAAATTCTTTGGGGAACACACAGCTCGATGCTCTTGCTGAAGGGGATCAAGCGAAATTACAAGACAGGGAAAAGTAATGTGTCTTGAGAGGTTAAATGCAAAAGCCTGATTGCTCCTCTCAATTATCTCAATCTTACTTTGTGAATTCGCTATTTGAGAAGCGCTTATTTTCGAATTATACTGAGACGAGCAAGAGGATAAGTCAGTGAAATTACTAAATTAAAACCAACCATTTTACATAATACGTGCAACCCAACCGATTTAGTACAACAAATTCTGTACATGTTTGAAATATCATGAAAATAGTGTCTTTAATATACAGTTTATATACTTACAATACACGGTTTAAATTTGTTCATATACATTACAGGGATATTTATTTGCACCTGTTTTAAATAATAATCTGCCTTCAGCCTTTTACACAAAAGCCCAAAACAGCACAGAATTCCACAAAAAACATGCTTTGTTTTATAACGGAAATGTACCAAGCCAAAGTTTTGGGGCTTTCTCTTTTTTTTTCCCAAGTGTCACTTTTTTGACCTACCCAAAGTGAATCTAAAGAGCTAAGAACTAACAGATATTTTCAATATAATTCAGAAGATTGTCCAAGTCAAGAGAATCACTTTGCAGATTTTCACACTGAAAATTTGGTTATTACGCACAGAACTGATAAAGTCTGAACAACTCCCGGACTATTAGGGTTTAAGACATAACAAATGAAGAGTCATTTATTGCTAGGTCTCAACAAGGGGCCTCGCATTTCCCTACTGCCCTGCCGTCCCTAATACCGCGAACAGAATGGACGACCCCACACTTTGATTATGATTTCATTCGTAACTTCTAGCTCGTACACGGGAACGCTCAATTTCAGAGCATCACAAAGAGGAGCCCGGAGAGCTGGGCTAAGCCCTCGTCCTTTCACATAGGGCTGGTGTTTGGCTTTTAAGTAGCATGGCGTACCCCCTGCCTGGCCCACAGGCAGGACTTTGCTGACCTGCGTTGCAGGCAGGCACCCCGCTGGGGAGCACGCAAGTAACTGGTGCCAGCACACTTTATTTAGCGGGAAGTCAAGGAGTTGAGTCAAGAAGAAAACATAGGAGAAAACACTTCAAGTATTTATAGACAGATTTGAAACACAGTGGTTTTTGAGACAGCATCGCTGTTTACGCTTTTTCTCTTGAAGCTGTTGTTGTGAAATAAAGTCAATTAAAGTGGCAAGTAAAACTGTTATATTGGAAAAAACCCTGTGTAATACACAGTTACTTCAAACCCTTGCTTCTAGCTGCAAAGAACACTTCAAAATACATTTTCCTTCTAATTTTGGATGGACCAAATGTTTTCTGTCTCTAAGTTTCTAGCCGTAGGCAATTTTTACAATACGGCAAGATTAAGAACGCAAATATGCACTTTGAGTTGATTTCAATACAGCTTTGGTTAGCCAGCCAGGCAGCAATACAAGAATCTTAATCCTAGGCACAACGAGTGTTTAAAGGAAACCAGCATTTCCCTTGCAGTTTCCTCCCCATCCCTCCCCTGGCCAATTCTGTGTCCACCTCCAGAAAAGCCCCCATGCCAGAATCCAGCTTTCGCCGCTGAAGGCAGCATCAAGTCCTTGCGCTGCCATGTGACTGTTGCATAGAAAGGATGTGTTTCCTGGTGTAGGACAAAGAGACAGCTCCACGCGGAATGACATGCCAGATTTTTTGCTACCAAACCGCCAGACAAACAAAACCCCCCAGGATAACACACAACTTCAGACAGCGATAACTAAATAAGCACCAGAGGCCTTACATTTATTTAATCTGAGGAAAGGAGTCCAAGGTTAGGACTGGCCTATTTCAGTAGACTGCCTCCAAAAAGTAAGAGATTTTAGGCCCACTCTGCCACGACATGTGTTGTCTGAACTCAATGGCTACATCTCTGTTGGGAGACAAAATGGGCCAGAGCCTGCTCTCAGGCCCCAAGGACAACCAACACAGCTCACATCAACATGGTTGAACTCCATTACCCTCCAAAACCAGGCTGGTTTCCCCCACTGCTAACCTCCGAGCTGTGCTTGGGAGTTGTCTGGGATCACCCATTGCACAGGCTGGTTGGGTTGCACCAAAACAGGCAAGAGCAACAGTTTGTTGCTGAACAAAAGTTGCAAGAGCAACTGAACAACACATCAACAGTTCAGCAGCAAGGGACTCCCACGAGAGAGTGCCCATGCCCCAGCGCTGCTCGGTTTGCTAGGACGGTTTGCAAGTCCTATCAAACGCTGAGTGCTGTCTCCTCCTATTCACATCAGCTGGTAAAAAGTTCATATCACAGGGATGTTCCCCAGAGCTTTCAGACACTTCCTAATCACAGTGGGAACATTAAAGTAACCCTCCATCTCGAAGTACAACAAGCAGTGCAGCATTTGGTAACCTTTTACAGTTTTAAGTCTCCAGGTTTTACACCCCATCATTCTAAAGAGACTGCATGGTTCTCTGCTAAGGCCTGAAGGACTTCTCTGCTCCTGCCCCATTTCAAAGGTGCCACCATCCTTTTATTGCCAGGGACTTCCCGTGAGACTGACACGTTCACATCGGTCTGCCCTGTTCAGACTGCCTTCTACAGCGCCACAGGTGATCCTGACCCCCTAACACCACAGCAATGAAACTCAAGAGGAAAGCAAATAAATTAGATCCCACGGGCATCACTGCTGCCATAACCTGGCTACCTACACAGCAGTGGAGAGGCTGAGCCGCCATACTCCAGTTGCCCAGTTTGCTCATCTCTCTCTTGATTTCACCAGAGCAGATGTTTCAGTCCAGCTTGGGCATCACAAGCAGGTAGTTTGACGCCGCAGTCATATAATTCACACAACACAAAGGTTAGGAACACCTAAATTGCTAAAGAAGGCTTGCAAAATTAAGGTGGTGAGCTGCTAGGGGCAAAAGAAAAGGTCAAATGCTAACATATTATGCATAAAAGTAAGCGGTGCCAAGCCAGAACAAGACAACTGGAAGGACATCAATAGCAAGTTTGCAATTAAAGGTTTTAGCGGTATTTTTGCACACAGGATCTGCTTCTGGAATCATTGCACATTTCTGGGACTTTGAACAGGCCAGGTGTATTTTGGTCTATGCACATGTGATTTTAATGCAGCACACTCACGAATGCAAATTCCACCAGGCTGCTTGCAAGAAAAACCATTCCAAGCAGGTAAGCAGAGATAACAGAATAGGTAACCATCCGTAGTCAAACAACACTATTTTCTCAGGGATGTTAATATCCTGGGGGCATTCAAAATATTTAATGTTAATATTACCAAGACTGCCATCTTTTTTTGAGAGAGAGAGATTTTTTTTTTTAGCTGGAATTAACAAGCCAAGCAAAACAAAGAAAAGTACCTGTTATTTAAAATTTGGCCCTTTCAAGTTTGAATGCTCATTTGACATAGCGAGGGTTAAAATGCAATTGACTTCAACTTGCACATGCCTACCAACAAGCATACACATCTGAACAGTACTTGAATTTGATTTAGACTTACTTGCAGCTAAAATATTTTAACGCGCTAATTAAAACACATCCGGAGAAAGCTATTGATCTGTTGCTCAAAGTCAATACATTAAGAAAAAGAGTAGGACTACGAACTCTTGGGGTTTTTCCATTGGGATATTTTTTGGCTCACTGCTTCCTAGTACCCACATCAGTTGGGCTTTGCTTTCTGGTTGGGAACTGGTGGGTTGCATTATTGCAAGACAAATGATGCATCTTGGCTTTGGCATGGAGACATGACATGAAATTTGCCCGGGCAACAGAAAACTCCATTTGCAAATAAATTCTTTTTAATGAGTGAATTTGGTTGAGAAAACAGGCAAAAGCAGCCTCTCCTTTTTGTCCCTCCTCTGTATTTTCTCTTGATGCTCCCACTACGTGCCCTACAATGGAAAAAGAGAGATTTTTTTGTACTTCAAAAAGGTAAGAAAGGCAGGTGATGGTGTCACCCTGGCCAGGGCTCTGCTCAGCAGCAGGTGAAGCTGCTCCAGCATCCCTGGCTCTGGCCACCTGAGGATCCTGGGCACTGAGGATGGACACCACAGACTGTTTCCTGAGGACCTCCACAAATCCTTGCATTCAGTGCCACAAAAAACAGAGGATCCGGGGGTTATTTAGACACATTTCAGAGACCTCTGCCAAGCACAGGAAATCGAAAGTTAATCCTATTTCTAGCCTGAGCAGTTAAATTTGAAAGGTCTCCAGGGGCAGCCTAATGTCCCTTTCCCATCTCTGTGCTCCCTTTTGACTGCTGCTTCCATGTGACATCTATTGCAGTGAGTTTTTGCAGCCGGGCAACTGAATTGGCACGTCTTACGATGCTACAGTCCCTCCCACTTTGACACCCACATCCTTCTAGCCCACTGCAAACAAGACAGGTGAACTTAAAACATCACAAGCATTTCCCAAGGCATGGCCCAAACCCTCACTTGACTCCTTCTTACCAGCGTGCCATGTGCTGTTTCTGTTCCCACCTCGCTAACGCTTTATTTCAAAGGCATCCTACAGGAGTACTATCACCTTCCCACACAGATCCGACCACAGGAACAGGATAGCACATTGAGCGCATTTTCAGATGACAACAGCAGCAGCAGCAGCGAAAATATAAGAGGTTGCCTTTTGCCAGAGCAAGGCTACTGCAAGGGCTGTGCTAGCTGGCTACTGTGGCAGGCAGGATCTGCCGAGAGAAGAGTCTGTGCACCGAACTGCCTTTCCCATGAGAAAGCTGCACAACCAGAAGTCGTGCTACTTACTCTAGCCATCCGACTACAAAAGCAACTTTTGAAATCTACAGGTCATAAACTTTTAATTGGCCAGGGCAGAGTGGCTCAGTAGGAAAATCCCCCTTCTCCCTCCCCCTCTGGGCAATGAGCTAAGCAAGACTCTTGTTTTAAAAACATTTAACTCTTTTTGCTCAAAGTAACATGGAAAATGTATCCACATTACAGGTAGTCAGGAAGATACTGTTAATAAAAATATGCTGCAAGAATAGTGTATTAGTGGCACTTCACAGCAATTCTTAACATTTTCAGCTGTAGTACGAAAACGATGTTTTTGTATATCTGAACATGCTTTTTGTTAACAGAAACGGAAGAAAGTCACAGCATGTTGCCAAATATTATTTGAACAGAAATAATCCCATAAGAAATACATTTTTTTTGCAGTTAACACAAAACTGTAAACTGGATCGGTGTGTGTCTTTCAGCATCAAATTGTTCAGTAATAAATACGACTAAGTCTTAACAGACTATGGAGTAAAAGTTCCCTTAGTGTCCAGTTTTTAGCAGCTGTTGAATGTTCAGGGATGCTCAAGGCACACCTCTGCAGATTCTCTATCTTTATTATTGACATACAAAAAAAAAAAATCCATTCACCACTCAAAACCGTTTATCTGCATAGTAAGAATTTTTCTACTACTATTTACAGGAAGGGCTTTTAGTGCAAAAAACAGGAAGTGATGTATTAGCTGAAGTGCATCGAGCACATCTCGTACAGTTTCACTAATAACTAGTCGGCATCACATCTTGGGCCGCCAGCCATTAATGAACTGTAGTATTTTCTTAACCTGCAATTTGCTTAGCTTAAAGTCTTCTGACAGGATTTCTTCCGTAAGCTGAACCAGTAAATTGCCATCAATCTTCTCTGTAACAAAAAACGATATGACATCTTCTGACAGACCAATAAACCTCAGCGATTTAGACACTTCCTCTACCGAGAGTCCAGAAAGGTCTGTGGGTGGCTGCCAGGGAGAGCCATCCCCACAAGATCTTGGTGCTAACTGGAGGTGGAGGGGAGATGAGAAGGGATAAGACACAGAGAACGTATCCTGCATGCCCTTTTTAACGAGATACTGATCTTCCAAGAGGTCTGGAGAACCAGTTTTCGACTCCTCCTCAGCACCATCTATTTTCAGTGGCAAGGGACAGATGTCTGTAACCATTTTCTCTTCACTTGACTTCGGTGCCCGAGGAGGTAAGGCAGGACATGAATGGCTCTGCTTTGTGTTGCTGACTCCCAGAGTTTTCTCATCAGTGCAGTCTAGAGAGTAACTTGCCGACTTTGGACAGCTAGAGATGGTGTTTGTGAACTCTGCGGGGGTCAGCGGGGAGTACCCCGCCGGGAGCTCACACCCATCGAAGTCAAAAGTCAAAGGTGCTGGGCAGTTTCTCTTTGGCGTACCTGGAGTCTTCTGTCTGGGGTAACTGTAGCTCCTGCTCGGATCGAGCAGGAAATCACTCCTATTCAGGCCTTCCGCAGTTCCTGAAAAATGGTTTGGCCAAGATAACCGTGAAGGCAGAGCTTCAGTTGAGGGGCTTCCCAAAGGCATCGTGCTCTCAGGCTCTTTGGATTCGGTTTTCATCATGTTACAAGGGTAGCAGGATACAGGTGTGCTCTCAGTTGGGTTGGTGTTGTCGCTCTCTGTGACATTGCTTAAGGAACAAAGCAGAAAGGATGTTGTTAGTACGAAAAAATGTGGCATTTGAATAAATTCATATATCATCTGACAGAGTCAGAGGGTGGCTGTCAGAAGGAAAGAATCTTCTTTCCTCCAGCAGAACTTTTCAGATTTGAATTAACAACACATTTGAATAATGCATTGACAGTTCTTTTACTCCTTCTACAAGCCTGACAAGATGCTGATATACCCAAAAGCCTCATGTCTCGGTTCTTCAAGCTCGTAAAAAAGTACATGTCTCAATTCAGTTCTGTGTCATCTCCCGAATACTCAGGTTTTCCACTGTCGAATTCCTGAGGGACACCACCAGGGAAAAGGAACAGCCTCACATATACTAGAAGATGTTCTAATCCTGTATTTTATATTTATATACCACAGATGTGTCATGATATGCAAAAGCTCGTAATAGGGGCAGGTCACCATTGCACTAGACCCAAGCTTGACTGACATAAGAGATGACCAAAAGCCCTTTTGGAGCCAACATTTTCATTTATTATGCCACTTGCACGTGCACAGGGCAGAGGATCCTTCCCCACCAGTCACCGGTGCAAAAACTGCACCAGTGCGCAATACAGTAACACAGAATAAGTTAATGCTTACTGCCAAAGGAAGAGTTTTACTTGGAAGGGTAAGCAGACCTGGCTGTATGTGTTGTGTATCAAGGCTTTAAGTTTACCCCACAGTAACTTGTTTGTGCGTCCATATCCTTAAAAAGCTGTAACGAGAAACACTTGCTTTTCAAAGGCACCTAAAGTTACCCTGACCTACTTCCAGGTGGTAAACTAGCTCAGCCTGTCTGAGGGAACGGATAGGTTTATATCCAGGTGAGATGGATTTATCTCCTGAGAGACAGAGGTGCCAACAAAAGCATGCAATCTGTTATCAAAAGCAAATGTTTGCTGCTTTTATGCCACTTTCTTTTAGAAAGTCTGAAGGATTGGGTTGATCTCTGGAATTCTGGTCAATTAAGCCAGAACACTGGAAAAACAATTAGCAGATTTATAAAATCCTTACCTAACAGAACAGAGGGAAACCAACTGTTGTAATAATTGTTTTAATTACTCACCTCTCTCTTCTGGAAACTAACTACTCAAGAAAGAAACTAGGTAGTCATTCTGTGACAGCTCAGTGAAAACTGTTTGAGGAGGGCAGCAGCTTTCAAAAAACCAGCATCGTTTTGAATGGATTGACACAAAAAATAGTTCCCCGTGTGCTTACAGCGAGTCAGAGAGGGAGCCAGCCTGGACTTGCCCAGCTCAAACACTAAGTGCAGATGTGTAAAAGCAGCTCTAATCTGTATCACTGGAAAATTAGTTATAAAATTCAGCCCCAAGAGATGCAGCTTCTCCCTCTGTCTAACCATCCCTCACTCTCCACTCCATGCCCTCCAAACTTTTCTTTTTTCCTGCTTATGTCACAAATACAAGTCTGCAAGTGAAAGCAGTTGGTTATTTAAAATAGCAGACTTTTTTTTTTTCCTCCTCAACAAGGATACACTGTCAACTGGTCATTTCTGACTGTTTGAAGGCCAACTGTTCCAACGTACACAGTGCAAAGCATTTTTCACAAATCTAGCCATTGGGCTGTTCAATTCAGGGAAGACAGTCTGTGAGGTGTTGCAAACAACTAACCATACAGAGGAATTAAATTGATTGATCCTGTTTCTGTTCTCTAATTCAATATTAGAAATGGGAACATTTAACGATTTAAAAGATTAATGGAATTACTGAAAACTGATAAAGTAACATTTTCAAAGTGCTTCCTTATTTGTCCCCCACCAAAATTAACTCACTGGGACTCAGTGCCAAAGGATGCAAGAGAAACCTCAAATACAGCTGAAGTCAGACATCAGGCATTTTTATAGGCAGATAAGGACAAATCATACTGGTTTTGTTTGTGTTTAAAATATTGGTTGCAGCCCTTCACGATCCAGAAAATAAGATCGTTGATAAAAATGGCAAGACTTGAAAAGCAACTTCACCAGCAATCTGTTTAGTCCACACATTGCCAACTTCCTAGCAGCTTCCTCTGCAGCACTAGGTCAATTCTACCAAGATGGAGATATCTGGTCTGGACCCAAGCTGGAGATGAATTTCATGCAAATATTGTGAAGTTTGAGGCAAATAATATCACCTGAATTCCCAAGTAACTTCACTTCTCACTGTTTTCCTGCTTGCTTGGGAGGCAGATGTATTCTTAGCTACAAAGAGAGAAAGCAGCATTTGGTAGGCCTCAAACGCTGGGAGGTCTTGTGCCTCCTGTGGAGTAGACTTTGACAGAACTACCCAACAGGCTTTCATAAAAACAAACGAGCAGCCTTGATCTAGAGTGATCATTGCCAGATACACAACACTAAGCTGCAAATGTGCAGTATGGCTGAGAAAGGCAATTCCAGCATAAGTTATTATACCAATTCCATCTAGGCTGAAATGATTTGGCCTTCTACGATGGAGTGACTACATCAGTGGACACGGGAAGGGCTACGGATGTCGTCTATCTGGACTTCTGTAAGACCTTTGACACGGTCCCTCACGACATCCTTCTCTCTAAACTGGAGAGGTATGGATTTGATGGGTGGACTGGCCAGTGGGTGAGGAATTGGTTGGATGGTCGCATCCAGAGGGTAGTGGTCAACGGTTCAATGTCCAGATGGAGATGAGTGATGAGTGGTGTCCCTCAGAGGTCCATACTGGGACCAGTACTGTTTAATATCTTCATCAATGACACAGACAGTGGGATCGATTGCACCCTCAGCAAGGTTGCAGATGACACCAAGCTGAGTGGTGCGGTCGACACACCAGAGGGACGGGATGCCATCCAGAGGGACCTGTCAAGCTCAAGAAGTGGGCCTGTGTGAACCGCATGAGGTTCAACAAGGCCAAGTGCAAGGTCCTGCACCTGGGTCAGGGTGACCCCCAGTATCAATACAGGCTGGGGGATGAAGGGATTGAGAGCAGCCCTGCCGAGAAGGACTTGGGGGTACTGGTGGATGAAAAGCTGGACATGAGCCAGCAATGTGTGCTTGCAGCCCAGAAGGCCAACCGTATCCTGGGCTGCATCAAAAGAAGCGTGGCCAGCAGGTCGAGGGAGGGGATTCTGCCCCTCTACTCTGCTCTGCTGAGACCCTACCTGGAGTACTGCATCCAGTATAAGACAGACACAGACCTGTTGGAGCGGGTCTAGAAGAGGGCCACGAAAATGGTCAGGGGGATGGAACCCCTCTCCTATGAGGACAGGCTGAGAGAGTTGGGGTTGTTCAGCCTAGAGAAGAGAAGGCTTTGGGGAGACCTGATTGCAGCCTATCAGTACTTAAAGGGGGCTTATAAGAAAGATGGGGGCAAACTTTTTAGCAGGGCCTGTTGTGACAGGACAAGGGGGAATGGCTTTAAACTAAAGGGGGGTAGATTTAGACTAGATAGAAGGAAGAAATGTTTTACGCTGAGGGTGGTGAAACACTGGCAGAGGTTGCCCAGAGAGGTGGTGGATGCCCCATCCCTGGAAACATTCAAGGTCAGGCTGGACGGGGCTCTGAGCAACCTGATCTAGTTGAAGATGTCCCTGCCCACGGCAGGGGTGTTGGACTAGATGACCTTTAGAGGTCCCTTCCAACCCGAACTATTCTATGATTCTATGATTTCAGTGGTGTTTCAGATCAGTTTGTAATATCCAGACAGGTAGTATCTTGTCATTGAATAGATACCAAAAATAATGGCAACAAGACGTTCAAGTCAAAAAGGAGGTGAGACTTCAAAAGGTGTATACACTTTCTAAAGAGAAAGAACACTGCATTGCTAGGAAAAGGTATGCAGCCACATAATTCAAAATCTACTATCAACTGTCAACTAGCCTGAGTGGATTTTCCAGTTTGTGGGATAGGTTTGTGCTGAAGTGGGTTTGATCTGGAAGCTGTCTGGCCCCCTTCTGCTACACCTCACTTTGCACTCAGTGGTGTCTGCTGGCCTCTCTGTTCTCCGTCACACCCACCCTGTAGGTTCCCATATAGTTGGCACAACACATTTCTGGATTACCACACCCTTTTTGTGCCCCCACTTACCGTAGCTGGCTGCACTGCATGCATGTAGCACTGAAATCCCACCCAAAAACTAGCTTTGAGATGTCCCGGTTTGAAAATTCAAACCTTTCAAGAATTATACAGAACTGTACAGGATTTTCCATTTAGACAGCCTGTGCCACCTTACAGTGAGATCACCTATAGCAATATGTGCAGGTATTTAATATAAATTGGTATGTCCTATCTAGTAAAACATAGTTTCTGCTGGAGCTTTGCTTCCTCTTGAATCTTTAAAAGTAACTTGACAGGTTAGCCCATTTCACAAAAAGTCAGCAACTCTGACACAATACCATGCCTTTATAAACAAGCGCCTTCAAAAAGAATACTGCTAAATGTGACTTTCTTAAAAAGTGCTAGCACGGGGCTCTCACAGCTCAAACACATACATGTTGTGCAGTCCCGAAGAGTAGTAGGACAGAGTAGGGCTAGGAGAGCGGGTCTGCTGTCGTGCAGGTTTGACTGTACGAGGAGGGATGGAAGGACTGGTGGAGGACGGCTTTGAACTCCGTGGTGGGACAGGGGGAGCATTCAGGAGCCTGCATTCCTCTTTTACCTGTACAAAAGAAGAACATGTAAGAAAGCAGCGAGAAAATCTGGGCAACAGCACTCTCAAGCAGATGAAACACATCTGGTTCTGCCTTATTCTGTGAGAGGAAATAGTTAAAAAGGGAGGAGAAAAGAAAAATGTTGCTAAGTATATCCATTTGCAACAGTATGTGGCTGTTATAAAGAAGTCCAAAAGAACACCTTGCTACCAGTAGAGCTACTAGCAATCTTTTTTAGGGTGCTTTTCAGTAGTTTGATATCCACTCGTTTAAAAAGTAGCAGCAATGAAACGATGTAAAAGAACCTTCCAGTAACATACAAAATCAGACAGACTGTTCCAGATATTTTACATTTTGTAAGGAGCAATTAATTAGGCTTAAACTTCATTAATGTTGTTTATTTATATGTAATAAACCAACCTGACGTAATGAAAAGATCTTAACAGACTTTGATGTTTCCTGACTTACTTCACCAGCGATACTCAGCCATCCAGCTCTAGGATAATTCCCAGCCTTCCTCCCCCAGGAATAGTACATGTATCTCATATTTACCAGATGCTGGGATTCAATCCTGGAGCTTCAGTCCTTCTGCAGCTGCCAAAGCAGTCCAGGAGAAGGTTCGCTACAAAACGTACAAGCTGAAAGGTGTGGGCAGAAGTGCCTGTTCAAGTAACACACCCAGCCAACAGGTCTAGTTTTTGCAGCCAGCCAACTTTGCAGCTTAAGACACGTGACTGCAGCGCTGCTTATCTGAAATTTAGTTTGGTCTGCCTAGGTAGGAGCAAAATATCAGGGTCCATCCTCATAGAAAAAATGATGGAATTAAGACCTTAATCTCATCAGTACATATTTGGGAGAGCAACTTTATTTAGTAGGGCTAGAGGTGAGCAAGGCTACTGAGAATTAGGCTGCCAGGCAAGATTTTTAAGGACTCGCCACCTCCCCCTGGGCAGGAGGAGACCTCTATGTTCTCCTTGTCTGAAACAGTCTTAGATGCACCAGAAAAGGGAAATTCTCTTTGTGTTTGAAAGTTACAGTTTATTTTTAAATTTAACAACACTGCAGAACTAGAAGTTATCTTAGCAGTTCTGCAACACATAATTAGCAATTAAAGTGATTTAATTTATTTAAAAACAAAATAAATGTGGAACCTTTTGCAATCCACTTCAGTGCTTTCAAAATGCAACAACCCGTTTAGTACTTTTGTGAAATGGAAAACTGGGGACTAGGACATTGTAGTACATTTTTTCCCTAATTCAAAACAAGTCAAAATTACAGGAAATGCCCAACAGCATAAAACACTGAAATAAATCTTGCTCTAAGGGTTCTTATTTGCTCTTTCAAGAAAAAAAAAATCAATTTTATTCATGTTTGTTATTGAATTCAGGCATAAAACTCTTCAACCATTTTAGTGCCGTGCCCCAAGGATGCCTAAGGACTTAATTTTTTTTTTTTCTCCCAAGTCAGACTAGGCAAAATTAATACTGCACATTATTGACTATATACCCATGGGGTTAGAGAGATCATTCAGGGAGCTCTTGGAGCACAGCAGATGGTCAAGGGGTTAAAGGCATTCTTTCCTGGCAAGACTGCCGGCATTCAAAGGTGCTGGCATAACAAACTATGCCAAGCTCCCTTGCTGACCTAGATTGCAGATCAGAATGAGGCCATAAATAAAACTGGTTTGCAGTCCCAGTTGGTCCCTGTCACAAGACCGCGATTACAGCTGCCAGACACAGCCCTCAGGAAACCCAGCAAGGGAATAAAAAGGAGAGATTTTGCAGATTAAACTGACAAGAGCAAGAGGAAACTTCGGAGAAGAACTACCCTCACTAGGTCCAAGCGAACAGCAATGAAATACATGCGGGAGAGGAGGGGAACAGCCGCGGCGCGACACGATGACTGCGATGGCTGCTGCTGTTACAAGGAAATACTCTTTCGCCCAGAAGCACTAGATGCCATGTGGCTGCCAGACAGAGATAAAGTGCATTCGCACTAAATGTCTGAGCCCTCCCACACTCCAGCACTCCCTCCCGTGACCTGGGGATGGTGACCCCTTTCCGATGGCGTGCGGTGGATTTTAAGACCTCTGCTCCTTTTCCTTGGTGCCAGCCCAAGCCCTGCCAGCACCCCCTGAGCCCTGGGGTGTCACTCCTGAATCTGGGCATCGCAGGTGCCTGTTGCAAGTGACCGCTTCCAAGGTCGCCTGGATAAAACCCACCCTGTCGCCGGCGTGACCGCAAGCGTAATGCAAAGTGGTTCAACACTTCTTGCCGATGGGAGCCTGAACTGCCGGCATGCTCCACTGGGGATGTGCTTTAAATCAATCAGGAAAACAGCCTCTGATTTTACACAAATTAGCGTTTGGGGACTGAAGCAATTTCTAATTCACAGGCCTTAATTCAGAGGTCATTCCCCCCCGCTTCTGCCTTCATGCTACTTTGATTTTCTGAAAGGTATTTAGAACATAAGCATTATATATCAGAATGCTTCATCCTGCCGGTGAGAAGAAAACCAGAACAGCTTCTGAAACACCCAAATGTCCTTTTCTCTCTCCTACAAACAGCTCATGTACACGCATTTTAAATTTAGTGCATGCAAAAATACAATTGCCAGCCAACCTTTATACAGAAACGCTATGGAATATCATTTTAGAGGGAGTGATGACTAAACCGCATGTTCATCAGCAGCTCCTGAGATCTGCTTATTCTATAAATACCCCACATGGAAACCATGCAAACATCTCCCCGGCCCCAGCCCACTGATGAATTCGGTAGATCACTGATACTCATTCCAAAGCTGTTCTAGGAAGCCACAAAACCGAGTCTCAATTATTATCATCGACAGAGATGCAGGTTTTTTTATTTTATTTCCTACAGGGTTACACCCCCTGCCCACCTCTAAATGCAAGCTAATATCTTTAGCAGAAATTAGTTCTCCTGCACGGCTAGAAAGCAATACCGAAACTGCTGACAGCACTCACACATTACCTCAGTAATGTACAACACGCATGACAGAATTGCACACTTTTCACAGTGACCTTAAAAGGCAACATATGTAGGTATCCCAACCGCCACCCTGCTGCCCCCAGAAGGGAGTCGCTATGCCACGAGATTTCCCCAAGTGCGAGGGTCCACACCGATGCTGTGCAGGTGCTCCACAGCTTTCCCAGCATCCCACCACCCATGCCTCAGGC